TGCGCCCAGAGGGGAGGCCGGCTGCTGCCTGACTCTGCCCCTGCCTCGCTGTCTCCCAGGGGAATGGGCTAGGTCTCACCAAGGCTTGGCTGCCTGGGGGCGCCAGACTGAGGTGAGCAGTGGCTGGGGGCCGGAGGCCTGACCCCGACTGACCTCACGCGCAGGTGAGTGACCGTGGCCTCTGCCGACTGAGCTTGCCTTGCCTCAGGAGCCGGGGGTGAAAGGGGAGAGCAGCTGCGGCTGCTGCCCAGCCCAGCCCCTGGGTGCTGGGCAGCTGCGAGAGCAGGAGCTGCCCGGGTGCCGCAGCTCGCCCCGCGGGCGCCCCGCGGGCCCTGACAGCCAGGCGGAGTCCTGCGTCCTGAGCCTGCGGAAGGGCTGGAGACAGTGAGCTCAACGTCTCGGGGCGCCTGGGGCGTACCCTGCGCTCTGGCGCTCTTCTCCCCGTCTCTGCCTGTGCTGGCACCTGGCAGAGGCTTCTGGCTTCCGGCATCCCTGGAGCCGGTCTGCCGCTTGCTGGGGCGAGACTGCTCCCCGGAGCCCCCGGAGGGAAGGCAGCCCCGGAGCTTGACCCAGCTCCCCACGGCTTCCCCTCCTCTCCCTCTCGCCCTCCCTTCTTCCTCTTCCTCTTCCTTCTGTCTCCCATTGGCCTTTAGAATACAACTGAGCCAGGAGAGACGTTCCTGCCTGACTGGGGTGGGGGGAGGTCACAGGGCAAGAGCGAGGGCGGGGACCTGTGTGCTGGCCTGGGCCCCAGGTGACCGCACCCCTCAGAGGGGCCGGCGGAGGCCTGGGCCTGCCAGGCCAGACAGGTCGGCAGGCGGCCGGAGGCCTCGGGGCCCAGCGGCAGGCGCGACCCAGGCCCTCCTGTGCCCCACAAAGCAGGTAACGCACCTTTTCAAAACGCTGTGTGCTGACTTAGTTCGAGGTCGACATTTACACCTTGAGAAGGGCGTTGGGATGAGCAGCGGATGTGACTGGACAGAGGCTGCTGCGTCTGTGTGGGGCTGGCCTCACTGTCTGCCAGTTCTGGAAGGCATCTGCCGCGGGGAGCGGATGCTCACCAGCAAACTGAGCGGAGCCAGGAGCTTATTTTGGGGTGGCCGCGAAAGGAAAGGCTCGCAGGGTCTCCCCCAGCCTTTCCCTGAGTGAAGGACGCCCTCTGCCTGGCTGCTGGCCAGGCTCTGGGGAATGTCCTGCCCAGCCCGCTGGCCTGGATTTAACTTGAAATACTTTACGCCTCGTAAAGTTCTCCTGTTAGAGAACACACCTGTGAAGGCCTCTCCGGCTCTGTCCACTTCTCCCCAGCTAGCCACGGAGTCAGCCGACAGCTGACCCCTTCGGGGAACACCTGGCTGGGAGTAGGGGGGGACGGGGCAGGGCCAAGGAGTCCCCCCGCTCCCTGGACAAAAGCTGGCTTGGCCCTCACTTTCAGAAGTCTGTTTGCGCCTCTGCTTTTAGCTTCCCAGGGAGCTGTTCCTGCAGCCAGCAGACTTGTGTGACAAGGGTTTTGTGCATTAGTTTGCCTTTTTTATTTTAATTCCAAAGGTGGTTTGTGGCTTCCGTGCTAAGTGGATTTGAGGATGCAGCCTGGATGCCTCCTCAGCCAGCAGAGAAAGCGCCACTCAGGAGGACTTCAGTAATCAGAGCTATGTCCGCTTCCTCTCCACCAGCCCTGCCCGCTCCCCCGGGCGGCCCCTCCTTGTGGATGAAGGACCTCTCAGGGCCCCCCGTGATTGCCCACACATCCCACCGGCCAGGATAAAGCCAGGGCCAGCCCCACCAGCCTCTGGCAACGGACGGGGTTGCTTGCTGGGATTCCTGAGTGGCGGAGGGGACCCGAGCCCAGCCAGACCTGTGAGCAGCCTCTGGGGCCCGATCCAGGCCAGGCAGCCGTCGCCACTGCCTTGGCCACCATCGGTGTGTTCGGATTTCTGACTGATTTGTGGGTCGGGCCATAACGCTTGCTCTCAGAATACACGCACTTAGCCCCGTTGCCCCACGGAGGGCAGCTCAGGCGAGCGTGATAGCCACTCCCTGCCTCCCCGCCCGCGCATCCTGGCTGCTGGTGGTCAAGCACGTGCGTTTTTCTCCCTCTTGACCTGCCTCCCAGCGGCGGCTGCGCAAGGCACCAGCCCACGTGAACCAGCCCACGTGAGGGACCACGCGAGCTCTAAGCACAGGTGAGCACACCTGCAGCCCCCCGCAGAGGGCAGGGGATCGGCCGGCAGCTGTCACGGGCCCGCCGGCCACTCACAGGAAGCTGCGGGGCCAGCAGGGGACAGGTGAGCACGCATCACTACGGAGACTGCCGGAGGCTCTCGTTTCTCCAGGGCGGGCACAGGTGGCACCTGGAGCCCGGGGCACACGAGGCCGCTGGCTGCCCCGCCGGGAAAGCTGGCCTCGCGGCCCTGAGGGCGATTTCGAGGCTCACATTCAGGGCCCCTCGTGGGACCGCCTGTGGGGCCTCCACCCTTAAGGCGGTGTCCGTCCACCCGGCTCCCACCGGGACCGACCTTGCCTGCCCACAGGCTCTGTGGCCCTCGGAGCCCCACCGCCCTCCGCCAACGGGTGTCGCTTCCAGGTGC